GACCTGTAATCCACACTTCTTTCATCTTTATCTGTAAGTGCTTCTAGTCCTCATCACTTTCTGCAAGCAAGGTTGTTTCATCTGCATATCACAGACTGTTAATGAGTCATCCTCCAATTTTCCATGTTCTTCTTCATATAATGTACCTTCTCAGAATATCTGTTCAGCATACAGATCAAACTAGTACGGTAAAAGCAAACAACCCTGATGTACACCTTTCCTGATTCTACACTACACAGTATCCCTTTGTTCTGTTCAAACGACAGCCTCCTGGTCTACGTACAGGTTCCTCACGAACACAAATAAGTGTTCAGAAATTCCCGTTCTCTGCAATGTTATCCATAATTTGTTATGACCCATACAGTTTAATGCCTTTTCATAGTCAATAGAACACAAGTAAACATCTTTCTGGTGTTTCTCTGCTTTCACTCAAGAGCCATCTGATATCAGCCATGATATCCCTCATTCCTGCCGTATAGCACTGGGCAAATCGGCTGCAAAGGACCTCTTTCAAGTGCTGAAGAGCAAAGATGTCTCCTTGAGGACTAAGGTGCACCTGACACAAGCCACGGTATTTTTAATCACCTCATATGCATGTGAGAGCTGGACAATGAATTAGGGAGACTGAAGCAGAGTTGATGATTTTGAGCTGTGGTGGTAGCAAAGAATGCTGAAAGTACTATGGACTGCTAAAAGAACTAACAGGTGTGTCCTGGAGGAAGTGCAAACAGAATGCTCCTTGGAGGTGAGAATGGCCAGACTTCACCCCACATACTTTGGTCATGTTGTCAGAAGGGACCATTCCCTGGAGAAGGATGTCATGTTTGGTAAGGTGGAGGGTTGACAAAAGAGGGGAAGGCCCTCAACGAGATGGATTGACATGGTGGAGTTGGCAGTGGGCTTAAGTGTAGCAAGAATCGTGGAGCCCGCTCAGGGCTGAGCGGTGTTTTGTTCTGCTGTGCATGGGGTCGCTATGAGTAGGAGACGACTTGATGGCACCTAACAACAACAACAACAACAACAATATCCCTCATTCCATGTCCTCTTTTGCATCTGGCTTGAATTCCTGGCAATTCCCTGTAGATGTACTGCTATAATCATTTCTGAATTATACTTGCATGCAATATTAATGATATTGTTTGAAAATTTCTGTACTCTGTTGAATCCCCTTTCTTTACAATGGGCACAAATATGGATCCCTTCCAGTTGGCTGGCTAGGTAGCTTTAAACATAGTAACTCATTTCATCCTACCAATACCAATACCAGTTATGAGGTAGATGGTATTATTATCTTCCCCATTCTCCAGATGAGAAAACTGAGGCACAGAGAATTTAAAAAGCTTTCAAATGTCACACAGCTAGTAAGTAGCCTCGCTAGGATTTCATGCTCTTCACAAGGTATAAAAATGAAAGTGTAAACTATTATGGTTAAGGTCAGAATTTAACATAAAATGTAGCTATGGATATAGATTGATTCTGAGGGGTGGACCACAACCCATTTGTTAAATTCTAATCACCATCATGTGGCTTCGAGCAGAGCCTGAGACCTGGTCTCTAGGAAAATGGAAGATTCTTTTCTCCAAGTAATAGTCAATAAGATCATCCTGGTCATGACAGGCAAAGTCACTGCAGACATCACTTCTTGAAGATATATATTGGGTTGTTTGGGGTCCTGCTTTAGAGCTGAGGCTCCTAGCCCAGAGTACTGTCCTTTGATCTCTAGCAAAAGGATAGATCAGCCCGTATAGGTCAACCAGGAGCCCATGGTGCATCTGCTATAGCCCAAAATGGTATCACGCATGGGGCCCATTGTACAGAATCACATTAAATACAAGCAGAATTCCCAAAGAGGAGATGTTTCTTGATTCATTATTATTTTATTATCACAAGGGAGAAATTGCTAATAGTCACCAATAAGATTAAATTTTTATAGGCTCCCACAGCATACATTGATGTATCTATTCTAGAAGACATTATGACAAAATTCATCAAAAGTCTTAAAAATGTATAAAATCATTGATCCAGAAATCCCACTTCTATTATTTTATCCCAAAGGAAATTATCAGAGCTATTCCTTAAGGCGACTTGTTAAAACACTGTTTATAATAGAGAAAAACTGGACACATCCTAATTGTCCAACAACAGGGGATTATTTAAATAAATGATATAACCATAAACCACACTGTTAATGGTATAACCATAAAAACTATATAGTTCTTTAAACTGTAGTCATGAAAGATTATTAAATTTAAAAACTAGGTCAAAACAAGTATACAACATAAAATCCTGGTTTTGTGGAAAAAAATAAAAAGCATATATTCAGTGAAAAGTTAAAGCTCAATTTAACTTCTAAAATTAAAGAAAAGGTTCTTTCCAAGAACCTTTAATTTTAGAAGTTAAATTGATTGTTTTAATTTTCCAATTTTTATTGTATTGGTAATTTAAAAAAAAATGACAACAAAAGTTAAAATGAATTTTTACAAACCTGTATTTCTCTTTCTTTGGCAGTTACATGATTCTTGTTTTACATTCTCCTATTTTCCAGTTCTGGGAATTTTGTCACTGTATTTTCTCAGCAAGATAAATTCAGACTAGGCTTTCTCAGCAACCAGGAGAAAGGCAACGTACATGTTCAGAGGCCCAACCGCAATGCAAAAATTATCAAATTAGACAACTAGCTAGCGAACTCCTCTGATCTTACTAGGTTTATAGCTCTTTTTAAAATTATACCATAATATGACTCTGGCATGCTTAACTAAGTTTATCAAAGTTGTTTGTGCTGGTTTGGGTTTTGTTTTTGTTGGGGTTTTTCCTAAAAAGAGTCAGAATCACAAATTAAAACAAGAGGTCAGGGAATTAGCTATGAGCAGATTAAAACAGTTTGTTCTATACAGATTGTGAAATAGCTTAAAGTGTCTGCCACCACAGGAGACATGTTGGATCATTTCTTTTCCCAGGACATCATAGGAGCAGGTAAGCTGAGCTATAACGTATCTCCTTAGGATTTATGCACATGAAAATATTTAAATGTGTTCCAAATTAGGGAAGTATCTTTTCATTTGACTTTAAATAAGCATTAGAAGGTGATTTATTTACATATTGCACAACAAATGGACAAAGTGAACTGGTATTCTCTTGAAGTCTTCCCAAATCTCAAGATAAATTGAAGCAGGGTCAGTTAGGATTATCAACAATCAAGCAACAGTTGGATGCACAAGCATTTCACTCTATCCTGCAGCCAACTGGTTGCTCTGGTAACTTTCTGATCACCATGTCTGAAGCTACTGGAGGAAAGGCCATCCTGCAGAACCCTTAAAACAACAAACGTAAATCCAGAGGCAGAGAGAGGTTACTAAGTCTTTCAAGAATTTCCCAAAGCTAGTCTTTCCCTGTAAAATAATATACATACTTATGCAAATAAGTGAAAAAGATGGTAAAACTCATGTAATCACTTTGAGGGAGTGAATGTCTTTTATGCATTTGTTCAACATATATCTTTAGGCACCCACTAAATGCCAGTCTGGGTGTGAGGTGCTGGGCAATAGAAATAGGGTCCCACTTTGAGCTCATAGGCAATTAGACATACAGTGTGGTAGCCTGAATGCAAAAATGACCCCAAGTTTCCTTTCTGTCTATCTGTGCCCCTTGTAATGTGGCTCTGCAGCTCATCTTATTCAAAAGTGGAGTTTGTATTTCTACCTCTTGAGTCTAGTCTGCCTTTGTGACTTGTTTTGGCCAACAGAATGTGGCAGAAGTGATGGTGTACCGCTTCTCACACTCAATCTCAGGAGATCTTGTGTACCATCTGGAACCCTGTCTCTGATGATAAGCCAGGCCCAGCCCAGTGGATGACGGACCACATGGAGGAGAGCTAAGGCTCCCTAGCTGATAGCTAGCAACTCCCAGAAGCAGAGTCAACCAGCTAACCTGCAGCTGACCAGAGATACATAGTAGAATCTAGCTAAGACCAGATGAACCAGCCAGATAAGCCTGGCCTAAACAAAAGATTGTTGTTCTAGCCATTAAGTTTTAGGATGGCTTGTTACACAACAGCAGCTAACTATTACATACAATAATCGTCAGTGCTAATTCTTTTAAGTCAAAGACAAAATGTTATGGGAGTACCTGACGGGAGTACTTGTAATATTATTCCAACATGTTCACCATTACAAATGTATCCTGCAATTTAGATGTACAAACAACAGATCTGAACAACCACCCAGAGAGAACTCAAAGAAGTTGTATATCTAGGGAAGGGCTGGCTCAAGACAGACATAGTCCCTCTGAGAAATTTTCTGTGGATGAGTTGAATTTGCTTATTAAGTCATTCTTCGTTTCTTTTCTCTCTTTGAAAAAATAAAAAGCTTTCAGTCAATTAAGCTTGTTGGACTAGATAACAATGTTTTAACTTGATTCAAAGCAGCCATATACTCTTGACACATGTTTAGCCTCTAGTACTCTGAAGGCTGGAATTTTAAATCTAACTCCCCTGAATTTATGACACACATACAGTAGCAAGTCCCTACAGGCTGAAAATCAAACTGTAATTCAAAGGCCACAGTGCTGAAGAAACAGCCAGGAGATAAATCCCAATTTCAGCCTTGGAATCTCCGCAAGTTGATTCAGTGGACTGTCAGTCATATTTTAAAATAAAATAAAACTACAAAGACACCAGACATCATGTTCTAAAGAGAAACAGGATGATGCCTTTCAGGCCTCTTTTAAAAGGTTCTTATTACCTAAAAAGAACTGTTACACAAGGGTAGAATTTTCACAGTCCTAGAACAGTTAGCCCCAATCAGTCTTTTCTGGAAGTTTCTGTATTGTAAACTGATGAGATAAAAGGAAGAAATGAAAAACCATTGAATACAACGCAGGCCAGCACACTGATAAGAGGTAAAGCTGCAGATACCAAAACAACCCTTTTCTGGAGTGAGGTAGGCCACCCCCAGAGAGCACACTGAGAATGTGAGCTCTGGCACAGAGACGTGGGTACTCACTTTACACCCCTCACAGGCGCTGACCCCATAGTGATACCCCGATGATTTGTCCTGGCAGACGAAGCAGGGCTTGTAAACACGAGGGGGAGGAAGTGGAGACGGAGGGCTCGGGAGGAGTTCCTCAGAGCTGGTGCTTTGTGTCTCAATCGCTACAAAGGAGACAGAGGGTAGGAAGGGAAGAAAAAAGAGAAAATACATTTCAGTTCACTTCTTTTCCATCAGTGTGAATTTATATGGCTCTGCCCTTAACTCAATAAGAACACTTGGGGCTAGGCCCATAGTAACAGTTGTCATTGTCATCATGGCAGTGGTAACATTGACAGCTATGTGGTTTCTAGAGTTTACAAAGCAATCTCTTCTGTATCTCTCATGTGAAGTTCACCACAGCACCGCAGATCGCTGATTTTTATCACCACAGTATCCACAAGAGGAAAAGAAACTCAGAGGAGTGTGGTGACTTATCCAAGGTCACAGGGCAGTAGAAGAGCCAAGACACAAGGCAGATTTTCACATTGCCATACCCAGGCTCTTCCTGCTTTTCTGGTGCCCTGAGGTTCTGATTTACTCAGAATATCTGCAGTGAGTTGTGTCACCCTACTGTCACTTAGCCAAAGTAAACTTGTTTAGGACAAAAATGAAAACAATGCTCCCAGCAGTCATTCAACAAGAATATGGCAAGTGACTTTAACATGCAATCATTAGTGATGATCATTAGTAACAATATTAGTAAAACTTTTCCTACTGGTACTGGGATTAGCAGCATCACCATCAGGTCAGAATTTATTAGATAAGGTAATACCAGGCCCCAATTCAGAGCTATGGAATCAGAATCTGCATTCTGCCAAAACCCACAGGTGACAATTAATATTTGAGAAATACTGGATTAGACCTAATGATGTCACAGAGTGGCACAGCTCATTTCTAAATCACAGTGTTCTATATTCTAGATTGAAATAACATGATTATCCATCTTGCTTCAAACCACCAAAATTACATGGGAAATGGGAATTCACAGAATTGAAGACCTGAGTGTGCTCTCAGCCCTGTTTTCCAGGTTTATGTTCAAAATCAAAGCAAGAACTGGTCCTACTTTGCCTATCAAAGATGAGGAATGCTCATCAAATATGATGGAAATGGGTAAGGGGTGATTCAAAAAACAAAATCCACTGCCATTGAGTCAATTCCAACTCACAGTGACCCTTTAGGACAGAGCAGAATGCCCCCACAGGTTTCCAAGGTTGTAAATCTTTATGGAAGCAGACTGCCCCATCTTTCCCCCACAGAGTGACTCATGGGTTCAAACCATTGACTTCTTGATTAGCAGCTAAATGCTTTCACCACTACGCCACCAGAGCTTCCTAAGGGGTGATTAGAAGTGCTGTGGTAACATTCCAGAATCTTCGAATCTCCAAATCACTTAGCAGTCTATCTTGTATTTCCTAGAGTATAAAACTTCTACTTGTGCCACTGTTTGTCACCTTCCAGATCAGATGTTCTAGTGACTGTAATATCCTATAGTCAAACTTTTAGCAAGCTGGGTCAACTCTACTCATTAAATATATTGGTAATACATCCCCATCTCACAATCTGGTTAGTACGGCAGTCTAGTACACTCTCTCTCACCTCAACTATTACGCTAGCCTCTTTACTGGTCTCCCTGTGGCCCATTCTCTTCACTCTAGAGTCTATTCTTTGAACAAGCAACCAAGGTAACTAACTCTTCAAAAAGTTGAAATCAAGCCCTCTCACTTGTCTGCCTAAAGCCTTCCCATAGTTGCCAATCAAATCAAAGTCCAGTTCCTTACTGTAGCCTACAAGATTCTTTATGATATAAGCCCTTGCCCCTGTTTCAATGTCACTGAATTCAATGATTCCCCTCATTTATTGAGCTCTCAACACCTGACTTTTATTCTGTCCCTTGAATAGGACAAACTCTTAACCCAACTTAATAGCTATTGCACTGAACATTTCCCATGCCTGAAAAATTCTTCAGTCAGATCTTCACATGTCTGGTTCTTTTTCACTACTGAGCCTTCAGAGCAAATGTTATTTCCTCAGAGAGGACTTCTTTAATTAAAATGCCCCATCTACTTCTGGCCACTTTCTATCCATTATTTGGCTTTATTTCCTACAAAGCACTAATTGATGTTTATATGTAGAAAGTTTATTTGTGTACAATTTTATATTCTACCTCTTTTTTCCCTCACTAGAATATGAGTTGCATGAGACCCAAGGGACTTAACTGCATTGTTTACAACTGTGTTCTAGGCCTGGAAGATGTCCTGGCACACAGTAGGTAATCAATAAATATTTGTAGAATTAATACATGAACTTTATCCTTTTCATTTTTTCTTCCTCATTTCAAGCACTAAGCACTTCTGCAAATTATTATGTGATAAAATTAGAAATCAAATAGCTTTCTTATATTCACTTGCTTTCTAAAAGTAATTAATTAATTCTTTGGAATAGAATCAACTGTAATTATAGTATTTTCATAATTCAAAAGAACTTTCAAATGAATTCATTAGAGTAGCACAGGTTCTAGTAGATAAATCTATTATAGTCTTCACTGGTTGGGACCAAGTTATCTGGATAAAGTCACCAGTCTTGAGTGCATTACTTCTATGGCAAATATGAAGCTCTTCTTGAGGACAGGTTGGCATAGTGGTGGCATGTGTTCTATAGAAAAGCTGGCATCTGAGACATCACAAAGCTATCAGCTATTAACCTATAAACACCAATATATTTCCCACATTGATATAACCAGCTTCACTTAAAGCAAAGGAATAATAATGACGTCAACAAGAAAACACTACTTGTTAAAATTAGTATAAAACAACTGTTTTAAATCTTTGTTAAAATCTAAGGAAACACACATACAGAATCATCCATAACCTTTGCACTAAGAGAAAACCAGATTTATTATCTTGAGATATATTCTTCCACCTTTTTTATATGCAAATAAATGGTTTAGGTTTGTGTGTTTACAAAACTGAAATTATGTTGGAGACTCATTTCCTGGTCAATAACTATTTTTTCTGCAAAACATTCCATCATGATGAACATATCTGTAGCTAATCTCAGCACATCTCTGATTATTTCCTTAGCATAAATTTCAGAAATGGAATTATTAGTTTTAAACTGACCAGAACCAAGCCTACTGCCATTGAGTCAATTATGACTCACAGTGACTCAACAGAACAGTGTAGAACTGCCCTAAAGGATTTCCAAGGATGCAAATCTTTACAGAAGCAAACTGCTTCACCTTTCTCCTGTGGAGTGGCTGGTGGGTTCGAACCTCTGATCTTTTTGGTTAGCAGCTGAATGCTTTAACCACTGTACCCCAAAGCTCTTATATTAGTTCTAAGGGTCAAACCCACCAGCTTTGGAAGGAAGGTTGGGCAACCAAGGAGAGGTCACTATGAGTCGGGTCTGACTCGACGGCACACAACAACAACACAACAAGGGTATAGATATTAAAATATTTTTTTAGTTTTTAATTCATGTCAATAAATTGACCTCTGGAAATCCTATGCTAATTTACATTCATAGTAACAACTTACGGAGTCCTTGAGTGGTAAAAATGATCATGTACTGGACTAATAACTCAGAGGTTGTCAGTTCAAACTCACTCAGAGGTGCCTGGCAATTTGCTTAAGAAAGGGCGCAGGCATGAAAACCCTTGGAGCAATTCTCTGCACACATGGTATCATTTCAGAATCAACTCAGTGGCAACTAATAACAACATCAACATAGGTGAGCCCATCCCTCTATGCCCCCAAATCTTTTGAGCTGGTTTTATTTGTGTGTCTCTACTTCCACTTGTGTGTTTTAGCAACTCTGTCAGAATCAGTCTATCACCACTATCTTCACAAAAACAGTGCGTACATGTGTATGCGTGTTTCAGCATTCTACACATTGGTAGGACAGCTAATCTGGCTTGTCTAGGAATGTTGTAAATAGAATTCTGTTAGGGCTCTATTCAGCTATCAGAACTATGTCCTGAATTTCAAAAGTGGGTAGTAATTTCCATAAATATGCCACTTCAAATACATGTAGTGAAGGGAGGGAGTCCAGTATTTCATCCTCCAAAGAGAAGAAACAGAATGGTGGGCAATTTAATATTGAAGAAACTTGGCCTAAAAATATACACACATAAAAAGATCTAGTAGAACCTAAAAAATCCTACATCTTCACAAAGGTTGGTAAAGGCCTTTTTCTGTGATTAAGAGTCATTTATAACAAATGAATGAATCCAGAAGGCTTTTCCTGAACAATTGCCATGAATGAAAATCTTCTAAATGCAAACAATCAATAGTGAGGATCCTGGACTTTTCCTAAGACTCTGAACTTTCCCATATTAGTCCAAAGGCTTTGCAGATTGTTTATGTGTTTAACTGCTTATTTCACTGAGTATTGTAACATGCAGGCATCATGCTGTGGATGGTGCATGGTTTTTGTCCCTTAGTCTCAAATAGTTTGGCTAACTAGAAAGCAAATCAGTGAGCACAATATAATATAGTGATTCTCAAATCTGGCTAGACATTAGAATTACCTGGCGAGCTTTTCAACATCCTGATGACCACAATGTACCCCAGGCCCATTATGTCAGACTGTCTGGAGGACAAGAACCAGGTGTGAGTGTGTTTGAAAAATATTATTAGATGAATATAAATTGTAGCAGTTTGGAAACTACTGATTCAATATGAGAGAGAGAGAGCTATAATTCTCAGTCAGCTCAGGAGAAATCATGGGAGACTTCCCTAAGGAAGTGACCAGGCTATATTTTAAAGAAAGAATTAGTTCTTTCCATTGTGGTTTGGGATTTAAATCATGCAAATGTCATAAATGAATCCTACACACAGAGAAAAAGAAAAGCCTTAGGTATAACAAGAAATAATCATATTCAGATAAATGTTCTACTGGTGGTAAAGAGTTAAATATTTGACTGTTGTTGTTGTTGTTGTTATATGCCATTGAGTCAGACCCGACTCATAGCGACCCCTCCTTGGGTTTCTGAGGCGGTATCACTACGGAAATAGATTGTCCAACCTTCCTTCCGAGGAGTGGCTGGTGGGTTTGAACTGCCAGCCTTCTGTTTAGCAGTCAAGTGCCTTAGGCACGACTAGATATGCTCAAATGTCACTCC